CCATCGCCACACTCTGTTCATGTGCCACTTTTTCAGGTCTCCTCACACTGCTGGTGGTTCCATTTTGTCATAGGGTGCTGGCAGATTACGGGCCTCCCATTGCTGCTGCCAGGCCGTAATCTGCCATGGGCCCCCGTACCGCCTCCTCATGCTGCTGCCAGGCCCGTATGTGTCATGGGTCCCTGTACGGCACTCCCATTGCTGCTGTCTCCATCGCCACACTCTGCCATGTGCCACTTTCAGGTCTCCTCACACTGCTGGTGGGTTCCATTTTGTCATAGGGTGCTGGCAGATTACGGGCCTCCCATTGCTGCTGCAGGCCCGTAATCTGCCAGGGCCCCTGTACCGCCTCCTTATGCTGCTGCCAGGCCCGTAGTGTGTCATGGGTCCCTGTACGGCCTCCGATTGCTGCTGTCTCCATCGCCACACTATGCCATGTGCCACTTTCAGGTCTCCTCACACACTGCGGTTGGTTTCCATTTTGTCATAGGGTGCTGTCAGATTACGGGCCTCCCATTGCTGCTGCCAGGCCCGTAATCTGCCATGGGCCCTCGTAAACCCCAGCCTCCTCATGCTGCTGCCAGGCCCGTAGTGTGTCATGGGTCCCTGTACGGCCTCCCATTGCTGCTGTCTCCATCGCCACACTCTGCCATTTGCCACTTTTCAGGTCTCCTCACACTGCTGGTGGGTTCCATTTTGTCATAGGGTGCTGGCAGATTACGGGCCTCCCATTGCTGCTGCCAGGCCCGTAATCTGCCATGGGCCCCTGTACCGCCTCCTCATGCTGCTGCCAGGTCCAGAGTGTCTCATGGGTCCCTGTACGGCCTCCCATTGCTGCTGTCTCCATCGCCACACTCTGCCATATGCCACTTTCAGGTCTCCTCACACTGCTGGTGGGTTCCATTTTGTCATAGGGTGCTGGCAGATTACGGGCCTCCCATTGCTGCTGCCAGGCCCGTAATCTGCATGGGCCCCCGTACCCGAAACTCCATGCTGTGACGTTGCAACAAGGTGGATCTTCAACCCTACATATGTTAACCGCCTTTACGAACAGCGATGAAGGCCATCACCGATTTCCTGATGTTACAAGCGGATCAGGTACACCCCCTGTGTAACTTAGATGTCAGCCATTGGCAGCTCATGCGTGACACCTGCGCTTGCTCAGGCCCTTTGAGGAGGCCACGCTATTCGTGAGTCGGCAGGGACTATGGGATGAAAAAAATAAACGACGTCATTCCTCTGTTGCACGTCCTGGAACAAATGCTGTTAACAATTGCTGGTCAGGGTGCGGTAGACGTGGCGCACAGATCTCAACGCCACATGACCCCTGTGGGGGCAGGACAGGAAGAAGAGGAGGAGGTAGAGGAGGACATTGGTGCTCAGGAATTATTGAGTGAAATGGGTGGTTTTTCCACTCAGCGGACAGGAGTGGAGGAGCAGGAGCATCTGGTAGAGGAGGAGGAGACAGAGGACCCAGACGCACCGTGGCAGTATGCTGTGGAGATGGAGGCAGGGAGTCCCTCGCATTCCTTGGCACAAATGGCCCATAGCATGCTCGGTTGCTTGCGTAGCGACAGCCGAATAATAACCATCAGACAGAGGGATGACTTTTGGCTGTCCACCTTGTTGGACCCTCTCTACCGTTCAAAAATGGTGGCCTTTTTCACACCTGCTGAGAGGGAGGCCAAAATAACATACTATAAAAACCACCTATGTAGTCAGTTGGTCTCTGCCTTTCTGCGCCAACGTCCATCCTCAGACACTGTGGGCCCTGTGCGCTCGCGTTCCATTGCCATGGCAGCAGGGGAGGGGTGGGGTGGTAGGAGCAGTGGCAGCTCCACCAGCAGCGGCTGCCTCAGTCTGCAGTCGATGATGAGTAGCTTTCTTCACCAGCGCAGTGAGGAAACTACTAACCAGCCGCAGCAGCAGCAGCATCAGGTGGACCTGGAGCAGGACCTCAAACAACAGGCTCGGGCCTACTTGGACAGCACCCTGCCAACCGAGGTAGACAATCCACTTGACTACTGGGCAACGAAACCTGACCTTTGGCCCCAACTAGCTGAATTTGCCCTTGAAAGGCTGTCATGCCCGGCCAGTAGCGTGGCATCGGAGCGCGTGTTTAGTGCGGCAGGAGGTATTGTAACTCCGCGGAGGACACGACTGTCCACCCAAAGTGTGGAGAGACTCACGTTTGTGAAAATGAATCAGGCGTGGATTAGTCTGGATTTCAAACCACCAGTTCCTGACACAACTGACTAAATCCGCCATGAATCATGCCCCAAACATGTTATTATTTTTAACATATGCCTCTGTATGGCCTTCAATTTAAGCTGCTTATGCTTCGCCACTCTGCCATGGGCCCCCTGTACCGCCTCCTCTTGCTGCTGCCAGGTCCAGAGTGTGTCATGGGTCCCTGTACGGCCTCCCATTGCTGCTGTCTCCATCGCCACACTCTGCCATGTGCCACTTTCAGGTCTCCTCACACTGCTGGTGGTTCCATTTTGTCATAGGGTGCTGGCAGATTACGGGCCTCCCATTGCTGCTGTCAGGCCCGTAATCTGCCATGGGCCCTGTACCGCCTCCTCATGCTGCTGCCAGGTCCAGAGTGTGTCATGGGTCCCCTGTACGGCCTCCCATTGCTGCTGTCTCCATCGCCACACTCTGCCATGTGCCACTTTCAGGTCTCCTCACACTGCTGGTGGGTTCCATTTTGTCATAGGGTGCTGGCAGATTACGGGCCTCCCATTGCTGCTGCCAGGCCCGTAATCTGCCATGGGCCCCTGTACCGCCTCCTCATGCTGCAGCCAGGTCCAGAGTGTGTCATGGGTCCCTGTACGGCCTCCCATTGCTGCTGTCTCCATCGCCACACTCTGCCATGTGCCACTTTCAGGTCTCCTCACACTGCTGGTGGGTTCCATTTTGTCATAGGGTGCTGTATGGCCTCCCATTGCTGCTGCCTCCACCGCCACACTGTGGCTCCACACTCTGGTTTTGGCCCCGTGACTGCCCAAATGAGTGAAGTGTGCGGTGATTCTAAGATCGACGGCACTCATCTGCATGTCATACTGACTGACAGTATTATTTCTCTTCCCCAGCAGACTCCAAGGGCATTTAAATTAAAGGTACAGTGTTCTGCACTAATATAAAGGCTTTCTGAAGCCTAGAAACACCCTTTTTAAAGTTAAATTCGCAGCGAATATATTCGCATCGAATCAAATTTATTCCTCAAATTCGCCGAATCAGCCGAATCGAATTTTTGAATACTTCGCTCATCTCTAGTACCAAACTGTTGATTTGGCCACTCCTAATGTTGCTGCTATCTCTCTGATGGATTTGTTTAGTTTTTTAAGCCTTACAATGGCCTCTTTCACTTGCATGGACAGCTCCTTTGAATGCATGATGTAGGTTCACAGCAATAGATTCCAAATGCAAATGCTTGACACCCTTATTTACGTCTGCACCCCCCCACTCACGCATCCAAACCATGTATCCCAGGCTCCACCTGCCCATTTGGACCCAGGACCAGCATAGCCAGTGTTGGGGGGAGTTGAGTGGATACACACCCACTCTTCTCCCCTTCTTGTTGGTGGCCCAGAAGCAACATGTAAAACATCACTGCCAGGTCCCCCTGTCTGTTTCCTCAGCCAGTATGGTCAGGAAAGAATGCAATGCAGAGTGATATGCACTGCATTACCTTCAGTGGAGCACAGGGGAAATATCCAGGGTCTTTTAGCCCCTAGATGTCTCATTAATGAGAACCTGTCACCAGAAAATCATCACATAGAGGACTTTTAGTCCCTTATGTGATACAAAAAATTAAATTTAAATTGTAAAAAATTTAATATACATTCAAGAGTATAAAATCCCACCACCCAAAAACATTTTTGAGGCCCCCCTGAACCTGCATATAGGCACATATGAATGTAAATGCACACTTCAGGGTTCCTGCGCATGAAAATGTCAATTGCGATACACATGTTACATATCACCATGCATGCTGGAGTGAGAGCAATATTTCTAGCACCAGATCTCCTCTGTAATGCTAAACTGATGACCTGTTGTCAGGGTCCTGTCCACTGCAGAAGTTCTGGAAGATCTGGCATTTCTGCCAGTACTCTGCATGGCCACAGAAGCACACATCAGCCTTAGTTTGGTGCCAGACTTCCTCAAGTTGCTGGATGATCTCTAGCTCCCCGCGCCCTGTTCCTGTTTCCTGTGATTTTGACCTGTAATTTCCTGTTACCAACTCGGCTTTCTCCTGGACCTGTCTACTCTGCTTTACCCCTGATCTGACCTCGGCTTGGCTTACATATACTCTCTCTCTCGGTCCTCTGTGTATGACCTTGGCTATCCCATCTGACTACGTATACTCACCCACCTGGTACCTGACCTTGAGTTGAACCGACTACCCAGTAAACATCTAAATCCCGGAAGGACTTGCATAACACGCAGAGGCGCCTCCTGTCTGCAGACCTATCTCCATGCACCAGCTGTGCTTCTGAGTGGACCACCAACCAGCACTCCTACAGGTGACCTGTGCAACTTTGGGCCTGACTCCCGCTGTCCCACTCTCAGGGGAGTCCGGAACTTAGCCGCAAGGGAAGCCCTCTCTCCATTGGCTTCCATCACCAGATACGTGATACCTGTATGGGCTTTTAAAGCATCACCTATGGAAAATACAGGGTACTAAAGTTTTTCTCCATTTCACTGGTGCACACAAATTTAAGGCTTCACATGTTGAGTATATATTTACTTGGTGTAACCTCATCTTTTATATTTTACCAAAACATTGGATAATTTATTGTGTTTGTGTGTGTCCTAAAAATAGCTTTAATGCATTTTTACTGATATTTTGCATTTCCTAGACCTTTGTGGTAATATTCTGTAGCATTAAACATTGGAATCCCAAATGCTCTAATAGACACTACCCACATACCTTTAGCTAAGACAAAAAAATAGAGAACGTCCGTGTCTTTCCACTTACCTGAAGTCATAATAGACCCTAATGGTAAACATTTCATCTTGATTTTTGATCTAAAAAGATCACCCTATTGTATATTCTAGTGAACTTGTAATGTGAAACACTGTCTTTTTCTCTGCAAATCAATAAAACATGGTTAGAAAAATACAAATATTAGTTTGTAGAATTCAGTATTCAGTTGACTCACCCCTTGCAGCTAAAACAGCTTCAGCTCTTGTGGGAAGGCTGTCCCAAAGCTTAGGAGTGTGTCTATGGGAAAGTTTGACTATTCTTTCAGAAGCTCATTTGTGAGGTCAGGCACTGATGTTGGACAAAAAGACCTGGCTCACTGTCTCCACTCTAAATCATCCAAAGGGTATTCTATTATGTAGAGGTCAGGACTCTGTGTGGGCCAGTCAAGTTCCTGCAAACTCGCTCATCAATGTCTTTATAGACCTTGATTTGTGCACTGGTGCACAGTCATGTTGCAACAGGAAGGGACCATCCCCAAACTGTTCCCACAAAGTTGGGAGCATGAAATTGTCCAATACATCTTGGTATGCTGACACACCTTATGAATTCTCTTCATTGGAACTAAGGGACCAAGCCGAACCCTCTAAAAACTTTACACTTGGCACAATGCAGTCAGGCAAGTATCGTTCTCCTGGCAACCACCAAACCCAGACCCATCCATCAGACTCCCAGACATATCAATTTGATTCATCATCACTCCAGAGAACAC